TGTTTGACATGTAAGAAGTAGAAAGTACAGGTATTTGAGTTCAACATGTAAGAAGTAGAAAGTACAGGTATTTGTGTTCAACATGTAAGAAGTAGAAAGTACAGGTATTTGAGTTCAACATGTAAGAAGTAGAAAGTACAGGTATTTGAGTTCAACATGTAAGAAGTAGAAAGTACAGGTATTTGAGTTCAACATGTAAGAAGTAGAAAGTACAGGTATTTGTGTTCAACATGTAAGAAGTAGAAAGTACAGGTATTTGTGTTCAAAATGTAAGAAGTAGAAAGTACAGGTATTTGTGTTCAAAATGTAAGAAGTCAAATTAAAAAAGATCTTCAGAAAAATAAGTAGTGGAGTAAAGTACTGATACCAGAAAAATGTACTTAAGTACAGTAATGAAGTATTTGTACTTCCCGCCTCTGCTCACCATCCTCCCCCCTCTTCCCTCCTCAGAGCCCGGTTGGAGACCTGGATGATGGTGGGGGTGTGGATGTGGGGGGGCAGCCAGGGGGTCCGGAGGGCAGCGGCACCGTGCTGACGCCCCTGCAGCCGATGTCTCCGCAGCGCCAGGCTCTGCTCAGCAGCCGGTGCTATCAGCTGAGCGAAGCCGACTGCTGGGACCTGCCCGTCGACTACAAGATCAAACGGATCGGGGACGAGCACGACCACAAAGAGGTAGAAGAAGGTCCACCACAGAAAAAACATCATACAAGTTGTAGTTTATAGCTAACAGGCATCATAAATGGTTTCCTGGGGTCATTGCGATACATTTGTTTGAAGTAAACAGTAAACTTCAATGATTTCTATGGGTTATTCCTCAAGATCAATGTTTACAGTCATCATCAAGGCTTTTTTTGGTCAATTCTATACAATAGTTTGAACATATGATCATTCTCAATGGTTTCTTGGCGTATTTTCTATACATCATTCAAAGTTTACGGTCATTGTCAATGGTTTCTTGGGGTCATTTCTATAGCTCAAGTTTTACAGTCATCATCAATGTTTTCCTGGGGTTGTTTTGATCAAACAGTTTGAAGTAAACAGTCAACGTCATCATTTGATTTCTATAAATCAACATTTATGGTCACCCTCAATGCTTCTTTCTAGTAATATCTATAGAATAGGTTGAATTTATGTCATCGTTAATTGTTTCTTGGGGTAATTTCTATCTCTTTTTTCAAAGTAAACAGTGAATGCCATTGGTTTCTTTGGGTAATTCCTCACGGTCAAAGTTTACAGTCATCAGCAATGCTGTTTCCTGGTAATTTCTGTTGAATAGTTGGAATTTACAGTCATGTTAATGGTTCCTTTTGGTAATATCTATACAATAGTTTAGTTTACAGGCATCATCAATAGTTTCCTGGGGTCATTTTGATCAAATAGTTGGAAGTAAACAGTCAACGTCATTGATTTCTTGGGCTAATTTCTATAAATCAACGTTTATTAACTTATACATTTTATTTCTGTTCAGTAGTTCAAAGTTTGGGTATGTTGTCAATGGTTTCCGGGAGCCATTTTGTATAATTCAAAGTTTAAAAAATGATCATCAATGGTTTCCTGGATTTTTTAGGTATTTATTAACAATATCTAAAAAAAATACAGTTAACAGCAGCGGTTTCCTGGGGTAATTTCCATCCAATAGTTCAAATGTAACATGATCAAAAGTACTTTAGGCCCTGAAGTACTTTTGATAATGTTACATTTGAACTATTGGATGGAAATTACCCTAAAGTTTTGGGTGATTTCCATCCAATAGTTAAAGTTCTACAAGCATCTTTTTATGAGTTCTTGTAGTTATTTTTATAAAATGGTTAAAAAGCATCATCAATGGTTTCCTGGGGTAACTTCTTTTCAAAATTTGGGTAGTTTGAACTCAATAGTTAAAAACGGGGGTCATCTTTTATAATTCAAAGTAAAAAAATGTATCATCAATGGTTTCATTGGGTAGTTTATTTACATTAGTTTGATCTTTACAGTCATAATCAATGTTGCAATCACCAGGTATTGTCAATGGTTTGCTGGGGTAAGTTCACAGTCATCAGCAATGGTTTCTTTGGTTACATTTCAATAGTTCAAAGTGTATAGACATCGTACAATATCATACAATGGGGTCAGTTCAAACTATAACAAGTTCATTGATATGAAGGCAGGGAAAATGATATGTCTTAACTCCAACAGCCACCTAAAACGTTTCATTCGAGGAGGACGGTATGATAACCATTCAATAACTGATGTACAAGTTGAATAATTTCCACACCAAATTGAAGCTCTAAATGCTGCTCATTCTCCACACTCTGCCCTTACAGTTCTTATTAAAGGCTTTATCCACCTTATCTAATATTAAGGCAGTGTGTCCCCTGATCATACAGAGTAAGGATAATATGAAGCATGAAATTGAGAGATTTAAGGCGTTTACATTAAAGGGTGCACACATAGATTAAGAGATGATAACGCTCTCTAAGCTTTTTAAAGGGATGCTTGTGCTCTGATGCACGGCGGAAAAGCACCATGGAGAAGTTGTGAACTTATTTTGCGAGGGCGTACTTTTGGTTTCTAGTACGCATAATTTTTGCATCGCTTTACATACATAAGAGGGAATGTTGTGAGTTGAAAAAGGTCCACTATGTACAGCTGCAGTAACCAAAGGCATGGAAACGGCACAGTGCTTGCCAAAAGTGTACATCACAGCCAAGTTCCTGCTGTTAGTCCTCACCCTGGAGCCACTAAATAGAAATGGTATAGCACTTGCAGCCAAATAATAAGAGAAAGGACAGAGACAAAGATGGATGCTGTAAAACAGAGAAATGTTTCTATCTTAAAACAATCTGCAAGGATCTGTAACCATCAAACTTTGAGTAATTAAAAGCGGCGAAGAGAGAAAAAACAATTTTTTTTTTTTTTCTTTCTGCAAAGAGTGAACCTTTAAGAGCAACTTCTATGTGACCATGGAAGTGAAATGTAAGGGACTAAATACAGAGTTATGACAGACACAATGTCTCTTAAAAATGATATGTTCCTCATCAAAATGCTTCTCTATAAGACCGAGCCATTTTAATGTTCTTAATATATAAATCAAATTAATATAAATCTGACTTATAGATATATCGCTTCACAACATTTACAGCTTCTCTTTTACTAATGTACATCTCCTAAACTTAAGAGCAGTTTTAAGTCTAAGTAATTTAATAGATGGCATTTATTCTTACATTTACGAGTGGAATCGTTAGAGGATTTATTTGACTTTACTTCTAAGTCCCATAATCTATTGAAAAAATGTTGATTTTCAAACCTTTTTGTATAAAAAGCAGGTGTCAGCCCGTATTGAGAAACTACCTATGAACTTGTGATTTCTTAACTATACAGCAGCGCTCGTTTAGGGTACATTTAAATTCTGACTGCAAGAAATGCCAGCCAATCAGAGCAGCTATTTTGAGATGGGGTCCTTAAAGAGACAGGCGCTAAAACAGGGCGTTTCAGACAGAAGGTGAAAACGGGTATTCAGAAAGATGTTACGAGAAAAATAATCTGTTGTTTAAACTTTAACGCATGTAAATATGTTCTATTAAAAACCCAAGGTGAAAGTATGAACTTAGAAGTGGCCATGATATGTCTCCTTTAAAGGGCACATGTCATGCTTTCCGGTTGTGACCCGTCCCCTTGTGTGTTATGAAGGTTGTTCTGCATGTAAACGGTCTGCAGAGTCACAAACCCTCAAAGTACACCCTGTAGGGAGTAAAACTCTAACACAGAGAAGACCTGTCTATGCTGCCCCAGAACACCTCGTTGGAGATTTCTCTTTTTCCATTGTTTACTTCTTGGGTATAGTGACGTATTTCGGGTATAGTGACGTATTTCGGGTATAGTGATGTAACGTAACGGCTCCGCAGATTGGTCCACCAATCCATGGAGCCGTTACGTGCGCGGAGCAGTTATGTTTGGATCAATCCGCGGACTTCCTCACACACACTGTGGCCGTTTCTCAATCGCGAGTAAAACTGCTACAGAGCAACTATTTCAAGTATACTACGTCATCGAGTGGCGCCGAAGGACTGTTTAAATGCATGTTAAATGCCCAGCATTCTGCGCCACTCTATGACGTAGTGTACTTGAAATAGTTGCTCTGCAGCACGTATACTCGCGATTGAGAAACGGCCAGTGAGCAGGCGGGGAAACACTCAAAGACAGGAAGTAACAAGACACAGTGGGAGAGAACTTCAAAAATAATACAGGAATCAGATCAAAACAAGGATCTTGACATTTTTAGCATTTGAAAAGTTCTTACATCTACTGCAGTACAGTTAGTTAGAAATCTCAGATGTTAAAACAGGTATATTCAGGCAGGTGTTAGGAGATTTTTTTTGTATTTTTTAAACATCAATGCTGCTAAACATGTTCTTTTTAAAACCAAATAAAACCAAATAAAACAAAAGTATGAACTTAGAAGTGATTGTGATATGTCTCCTTTAAGTTTAAAATAGCTCTGGTTGATGAGGTTTCTCCACCAGCCTCAGTGCGCCATCATGTGGTTGAAATCGGCGCTTCATGCATCATCAGCTTCCCTCTGAATAAACGCTTCAGGAGTTTGGAGCACGGTGCACTAAAAAGCTGAATTACAGCACTAATACATAAGTAAAACACGTTAGATCTTCTGCACGCTTTAAACCCTCGCAGATCTGATACCACACAGAGCAGTCCATGCAGCAAATTGCTACATTTGCCTCGTTGGATTTAGAGCGCTGAAGTGAAAGGTTTTAATCAGGAGAGTAATTGCGTTTGTTAATGAAGCACGACGTTTGAGAGGAGGCCGGAGCCTGCAGCTCGCCGGCTGATGGGATTCTTTTCAGGCGGTCTTGAAACATTCTTGGGGAGGAGTGATGTGATGTGAGCACTGCAGAGTAGACTGCAGTATTCACAGAATCACAGACTCAATTTCTGAGCCCAACGGGACCAATTCTTCTTCTTATTTATCAATGGAGCATTACAAAATAATCAAATAACACTTAATTATCAACATGAAGGAAAAGCTCCAAAATGTAGCTGTTATAATGGGGGTTTTGTCAGGGTACTCAATAATTACAATAACAGGTCAAATAACTGCTTTTAAGCATTCAATCATTTTCTTCTTTATTTGGTCTCAAACGCAATGCAAATTGTGATTAAGGCTTTTTAGTTTGTTCTTTAAATATATATTTCCTTAGGGCCTCAACAGTTAAAAACATGAGGATATTCAGTTTACTATTACATAACATTGAAATAAAACTCCCACATAGAATGAAAAAGAATAGCAAGATTATTATTAGGTTTATCTGTTGGTCAACTCGTAAATTCACCCCAAATTAAAATCATTGTTATTTGGTTGTAAACAAATCCTTTGATAAAGATTAAATAGAAACAGAAGAACGTTTTAAAAGGCTTACATTATCACTAAATTGCATGATCAAACAGGCCAATCAGAACTGTACAAAGGATGAATAAAACTGCCTCAAATATCTGTCTAACTATAAATTGTCATCGGCAATTCTCTCTCCAAAAGTGTCGCACTACAAAGTGACATTATATATTTTTTTAAATGCATTAAATCACATGATGTATTGATTATTCGTTGTCCGATATGATTATAATCTGTGAGCCTGTAGTGACGTATCGTAGTCTTCTTATTTCTCGTCCCTGCACCAGGGCGATGAGATGGACCCGTTCCAGGAGCTGATGGACGAGCAGCGCTACCCGGCAGAGGTCACCATGCCCAGCCCCAAACACCACAAGTACCCGCCCTGCAAGGAGGGCAAGAAGGAGCTCATCACGTAAGAAACTACTTTGTCATGGATCCGAAACCTTCGAAACACAGACACACTGCTGATTGAAGGAATTATTATATTGTTGCACAACACTATAAGAGCCAGAGTACTTGCATCAAGTCCACCAAGAGTATACAGTACGGTATGTGTCTGTCTAAAGAATAACAGAATCTCACAGGTTTTATACACTTCTTTTTATTTCACACAGCACTATCCCTTTCGACCTTTTACAATCAAATGTTACAAGACCCTATGACACGCTGCAAACAGACATGTTTAATGTTAATGTTACAAAAGTATCTTTAAATAACCTAAAGGATGAAACTCAAGAGCATGTCTTACAACACATGATTACATAATATAGATTATTTCAACCACTTCAACCCTGAATAACAAGCTTAAATAAAAACCAACAAGACTTCAATATGTCGTCCCATGATGGGAAACATTATCTGACTTTCATCATCAAGTCAAAGTCAACTTTATTGTCAATCTTTCAGTTTGTGTGTACAGACAGAGAGATCGAAATACCGTTTCCCACAATCCAGAATACAAATATATATAAAAATATGTATACAAATATGTATATACCTATATATACACAATCAACAGACACATTTATACATATGCACACATTAAGATAAAAGCACAACAATCAATCAATTCGTTATTATTTGAGGAAAGTTAGACCAGTCCTTAAAGGTCACCTATTATGCAAAATCCACTTTTTTATATATTTTATACATACAGTAAACATGTGGAACTCTGTGGAAAGAGACTCGGAAAGTTACAGGAACAAAGATTCTCTCTCTTTTTGTCCTGATCCATTTCTATAAAACCTGTCTGAAAATGAGCCGATCAGATTTTGGCCACTTTATGATGTCATAATGATTTTTTGGCTTGAGTAACCATTAGCCAATCACCAACCAAGGTAACCCCCCCCTATTGTAAATATTCAGTTTGTATCTCTTCTCCTCCCGCAGGTTGTCGAGCTGCCAGCTGGCCGACAAGAACATCCGCGGGATGATGAGTCCCAACGCACAAGAACTCAGGTGATTCTTCAGTTTGAAATACTCCGAGCATGTTCAGAGCATGGCTGCAGTCAAGACCACTAAGCGAGACCTGGGCTGCGGTCAAATACTCAAAATACGTTTGTCCTACAGGAAGTGTTTTCCTAACCGCTTTTCCAAAAGATCAATAGGTCAAAAGGACGACTGCGGGGCGAAGAGATCGACTTCAGAGACTATGGAGATGTCGGTTTGTTTTAAAAGAAAATGAGCACATCCAAAACTACGCTATTTGGCCAGCTACCTTTTCTCGAGAGCTCATTGACATTCCGTTGAACATCTTTCCTACATTTTTTGGAGTAACGAAAACAAAAAAGAAAAGAGAAGGGACTGGAGAAGATGAAATAATAAACCATCAACATTAAAGCCATGGATTTGGATTTATAGCCACACATGCCAAGCATCAATTTGTCACTGTTTAAGGTTTTATTCAGGCAATGCAAGGTAAGGGTTGGAGACCAGACCAAACCAGACCAGACCAAATCAGACCAGAAGAGA